CTATTGTAGAAGTGTAATATTGAAGTAACCCAGTGCTATTGTGTTGGGGTTGATCTGTGACTGTACATATAATAGTATGTATTTTTATAAAATCTAGTGTATTTGTACTCGATGCATCCATGTTTAGAATTACAATGTCCTCTTGATGGGCCACTCCATTTTAACACCATAAAGTATCATTCCTAATCATTGTCAGGTATTAAAACGGCAACATTTGCTTATTTACTAGGTCCATTTGCTTGGAATTTTTTTTTCCTCCTTTTACTGTGAGGTAGGTAGCATCTGTCTTTGATGCTGAGGTGTGTTTCTTAGATGTAACAAATACATGGGATTTATTTTTTTAATCCAATATATTAATCTGTGTTTTTAATTGGGACTTGAGACCATTAATATTCAAAATTATTATTTGCATTGGGACCTGTGCATCTGGGTTTGGGTCATCGGTTGAATTCTTTTTAAGTTGCCCTGATTCCTTCTGGGGAAGTGTGTTTAACATTCAACAAGGACTAGATTTCAGTAGGGCTGAATTCTCGTTTTCTCTGCTGAACTGGTGTCTAGGACACCAGGCCCAATCTCCAGTGCTCCCCTGAAATTAGAATACTGTCTTCAAAAGGATCACTATCAAAGGGTATGTCCGCTATGAAAATCTACTAATAGTCAAATAAAAAAAAAAAACCACTTCTTAAATGCCAATCATTTTAGGAAGTAAAGGAGCACTGATCATACTATGAAGGGTGATACATTAACTACTGTATAAATGGGGGGGGCAGAGTAAGACTAGTGATTAGTATTGGATTGATAGAGGGTGAAAAAGGAAGAGGGGGATATGAATAAAAGAGGAAACAGCAGAAGAGAAGAGTCAGCTGGGCGTTGGTGGTGCACACCTTTAATCCCAGCACTCAGGAGGCAGAGGCAGGCAGATCTCTGTGAGTTCGAGGTCAGCCTGGTCTCCAGAGCGAGTGCCAGGATAGGCTCCAAAGTTACACAGAGAAAACCAGTCTCGAAAAAACAAAAACAAAAACAAAAAAAAAAGAAGAAGAAGAAGAAGAGTCAGTTTGGGCTAAAAGTAAAATGAAAAGACATTAGTAAATTCATACACTCAGATGACCTACAACCATGCAGACCTCAGGAGGCTGAGACACAGAAACCCTACAAACCAGGAAAAGCCTGTGCTCCTTGAAAAGGGAAGCAAAAAAGGAAAAAGACAGAGGTTGAGGGCAAAAGCAAAGGAGACCAGAGTTGGCCTGCTAATCTGGCACTGATGCTAAATAAGGAAGACTAAAGAAAGGGAAGAGAGCTAAGTGCAGGACGGAGTCGGATGCAGTCCAGCCTGCTTGCTAGTCTAACTGTCCCTTTCTCTGGCTCTCAGAGGACTGCCACCACACCCCTAGACATCCCTTTGTAAGGTTGGGTCATAGATGCTGGTCACACCTATGGACAACCCTTTAGGAGTCCAGTTGTCAGTGCTGGCCCTGCCCTGGTGTCGCCCTTCCCAGTGTTCAGTTTGCTGCTTGGAAACTAGGTCTATCTACATTCCCCCGAAGACTCTGCTCCAACCAAGTTTTCATCTCACCAAAGAATGCATAGCTCTGATCAAAGTTTCTTCCTGCAGTCTATAAGCATTCTGGCCAGGTTTCAGCACACAGTCCCACAGCACTTTGCTCTCAGTTTCCCAAGAACGTGATTCAAAGACATCAGAGCACCATAGCCATGGAAACTACAGAGGACTTTTTACAGTGGTACC